TGTCTTAGTCTTCTACAGAATTTCTCTTTTACCTAAATTTTTAAGTAGGTAGCTCCTTGTGTGGTGCAAGCCCTTGCCAGTCATTGTATTTGAAAATACAACCAGACTTGGACAGGCTCGTCAGGGGCAGGGACTCAGTGACATTTCCAGTGCCCACATCTGCATTCAAGAGACCAGTAAAATAAGTGGGACGAGGAGACTTGCTCGCTTAACTTTGTAGAGTTTATTGATCCATGTCGTGGGGGTGTTTACCCAGCGCCTCTTGTCTGCCAGGCACGGCTTCAGCTTTGGACATAAAGAGGTGAGAAGATAAGCAGGTCCTACTGGCACCAGGGAGGAACTGAGTCACAGGTGTGGGAAGAGAGGCTCATTCAGTTTACCTCAGGTAATGGAGGACTTTTCTTGTAAGCATACTCCAGCAGTAAGGAAGACTCAAGTTAGTTACACTTCTGGGTCTCCCAGCTGCAGAGGAATTAAGACCAATCTAGTGGAATATGGTTTTGGGAACTGAGGGGATCTCTGGTTAAACAAGTGTAAAGATGTTCCTATTCTATGGGACACAGGGACACAGGGCTCTCAGTATTCCCCTGGAATGGCGTTTGGGAGAAAGTCAAACCTATATAAATATTTCTGTATTTTTCCTTGAGGATTCACTAAGATCTTAGGTTATATCTCTTAAAAATTTTGAGAGTTTAGTATATTCTTAAATCATATTTGTTTGCTTCTCCAGGCAGATAATATGTTTCCTATTTTTTTCCTTCTGTATTCTCCTAGTCTCTAGTATTGGGTGTGTGTGTATAAATACACTGACAGAATATCCATAGAATAGGAAAATCTAAAGGTAGAAACCAAGAGTCTCAGAAAACTTAATTTGGCTTATCACATTTTAGAACATCATCTGTTAACTTTTTTTGTGAATTTATACTGCTGTCTACTTCATATATTTTTAAAAATGGTAATGTTAAAATTGATAATATTAGCTCATAATAAATAAGCATCAGTTGCTTACATATCTTTAGATAGGAATTTATAGTTTACAGGTACTTTCAAAGATCTTTATTTCTTTTCCTTCATAAAACCCCCCTAAAAGAAGGAGGGCAGATCTTAATTTTTCATAAGTTGAGAATTAAAGTTACACGATTCATCCAAGCTTTCATGGAAGGGACTGGAGCCAGTAGTGGAGCCCAGGCCTCCTGCCTCCAGTCGAGGGCCCTGCCCCATGCCCCGGGCCTCGTGGCCAACGGGACGGAACGGGACGGAACGTCGGCAGTGCCCTTCCTCGCCGGCCTCCTGCTCCCCTTCCCTGTGCTTAGGTTCCTGAGAGAGAGAACACCAGGCGTGCCCTGCCCAGAGGCACAATGCTTTATTTCCAGCAAGGCTTCCACCTTGAATCTCAACCTTCTTGCCCATTTTGGTAGGTAGACTAAAAATTCTAGAAAAATTGTGAAGGTTATTGTTAGCCAAATGTTTGTGCAGGCAACACTTGTGTTTCGTCCCTGCATATGGATATGAATAGATATGGATACGAGGGATTGCATTTTTGGTAATTGGTGTCAAAGCCCAGGGTTTACCTTGACCGCTGCACACTGCTTGCCTGGTGTACCCATCCCGTTCCCCATTTACTGGAAATCATAGTCATGTAACCTGTCTACCTGCAATTTAGAATTGATATAATTTCTAGCAAAAATATAAAGGAGAAATAAAGGAAAGTAATTTATCGTAAGTAATATGTATGTCACTAGCTATGTGCTTCAGTATGGACACAAGAAGATGTAATGTAGATTCCCCCACTTACATGTAGAATCGTTAAGAATATGAAAGCTGCAAATGTAGTCTGATCATGTGTATTGTACTGGCAATTCAAATACCCCAGTGACATTGCAGTAGTGACATGATTTTTTGAAATAATGAACATCTATTAGTAAAATTCCAAACAAAATTAAAAAAACCCCACAAAATTCCTTTGATTTATGTTGTAGAAAACTCTATGTATATTAAAACTGCATAAAATAATTGTGTTAGATATAAACAGTGTTAGGATCTAGGCTCAGATGGTTATAAACTGACTTTTTTGCCAACAGGAATGTCCAGTGGGATATTTGAAAGTAGTCCGGGACAAAAGTTGTGGGATCCGGGACAGTTGTTTGTTGTCCAGGACTGTCCTGTTCGTTGTCTGCCAAATGGCAAGGATGTCCTCTGAATTACTGTAGTGATTGAAAACGTTGCCCCATGAATTTAGAATACACTTTCTAGATGGCGATGCCACTTGTTGAAAATCTCTGCCTTAAACACTTTGGAAGGACACAGAAAGCTGAGAGGCCCCAAGAGAACAAAGACCTCCCAGCATTTCACACCAGAAGCTCTAGTGCTGTGATTTCATTGTCTCGAGAGGAGAGGCTAGAACGAGAGGAGAGGCTAGAACAAGAGGAGAGACTAGAGTGAGAGGAGAGGCTAGAGCAAGAGGAGAGGCTAGAGCATCTACTCTCTTTTTGCCCCAAGGCTGAGATGTGTTTTGCTCTCCTCCTGCCTTTATCAGCAGGCACTATCTATTCCACATTCCTGTGGTTAGAGTTTCTTGCCCCCTCCCAGTTCCCTGTCCTTGTAGCCTGCTGGGGAGGCTTTCTTTAGATGGGGTTCTGAAGCAATTGTGAAAAAGTGGTTTGAAAGTGTCCAAGAACACTCATGGAAGTGTTTTTTTCTTTTATGTGGTAAATATACATAACATACAATTTATCCAAGGAAAGGTTTTTATGTAAGTAATTTGTGACTTTGCAAATTCGTGGCTAAATTATTGTGGTATATAAATGAAAATTTTATCTCTCTTGATCAATTTGGAGGATATAATTTTGCTATAGTATTTGAATAATTGGGTTTGTGAATTATTTCACAAAGTTAATCTTTAATAACAATGGAAATCAATATGGAAGGAAATATTTACCTGTTATTGTGTGATTTCAGGAATCAATATTTTTGCTTTCTGTTCTCTATGAGGCAGCATTTTGGTGCTAGACGCACCTAGGTTCAAATTCTCCAGCTCTGCCACAGGGTTGCTGTGTGATCTAATCAGTGTCTCTGAATCTTACTGTAAAATGTCCTCATCAGCAATGTGGCAATGCTGATATTTAATAGCATTGTTCAAGGATTAATGTAAAACATATGACACAGTTTTCTTCTAGTACTTGTTCCAATGCATCTGTATTTTTCATGCAGTATAACCATGGTGCTGAAAAAAATTTTAAGTCTTCCTTTTTGTTTTTGGTGAGGAAGATCGGCCCTGAGCTAACACTTGTTGCCAATCTCCCTCTTTTTGCTGGAGGAAAAGTGGCCCTGAGCTAACATCTGTGCCAGTCTTCCCCTACTTTGTATGTGGGTCGTGGCCACACCATGGCTTGATGAGGTGGTATAGGTCCCCACGCCGGATCTGAACCTGCGAACCCCAGGCTGCTACCGAAGCGGGGCGTACCGAACTAAACCACTACGCCACCGAGCCAGCCCTTAAGTCTTCCCTTTTTACTTGACCTATTTACATAGTGTAAACAATTTTTATAGTTACTGTTTTAAAAGTTTTGAAATATTAACAAGTATTATAGTAGATTGATGACATTCTGCCACTAAAATATACTGTGTAGTACATGATGTCCTTTCTGTAGATAATATGAACCATAAACTTAACGTGCTTCTCTTAAGGAATAAAGTTTTTCAAGACCTCACTTTCTGAGATACCTGTAAGCAAAACCAAGAAGGAACAACAGAGCCAAGTCGAGTCTGGGGAGTGGGCCCATGGTAGACTTAGCAGCTGAGGGATGCTCTCCCACACACCAGCTTGAAAATGCAGCCTTCAATTTGCAGTCATCCCCCCTTCTTCTCCGGGGGTATGTTCCAAACCCCCAGTGGATGCCTGAAACCACGGATAGTACCAAACTCCTATATATACTACTATGTTTTCTCCTATAAGTACATACTTATGGTAAAGTTTAATTTATAAATTAGGCACAGTAAGAGATGAACAACAATAACTTCTCTTCGGCGTATCTGAATTGCCGGCATCACTACTATTGTGCTTTCGGGCCATTGTTAAGTAAAATAAGGTTCGGTTACTTGAACACAAGCACTGCAGATACCTGGACAGTCACTCTGTTAATCCAGACGGCTACTAAGTGACTAATGGGTGGGTAGCCTATACGGCCTGGATCCGCTAGACAAAGGGATGATTCATGTCTTGGGGAGGATGGAGTGGGGCAGTGCAAGATTTCCTCACACTTTTCAGAAAGGCGCACAATTTAAAACTTACGAATTGTTTGTTTCTGGAATTTTCCATTTAATATTTCGCACTACTATTGACCACGGGTAACTGAAACCATGGAAAATCCTCTGATAAAGGGGGACTGCTGTACAGATTTGCATGTCATAGATCTTTGGGTTGCATAAAAATTGTCAAAACCACAAATATTAAATCTGAGAATATCAAGGGTATTATTGTACTTTACCTAATAATGATCTCAGTATATGTGAGCCTTTTGTTTCCTGATTTTTTCATTGTAAGAATGATGCTGCTGAATAAATGTAGACATATATTGTTTTCTCCTTCTCTAGTAGTATTTCTTTAGGATAAATCTCTAAAAGTAGAATTTATTAAAGGGCACAAACCTTTTATGGCACTTGACGTAATTCCAAGATTGTTTCCAAAGATATCACGTAGATTTACACTGTCCCCAGTTAAGTAGTTTCAGCTGTCTAAAACTCAGGATTTTTTTATTTGAAATGTTTTGGGGAGACTAATTTAACAGGTGAAATATTAATTTTAATTTCTATTTCTTTGGCTACTAGTGAATTTAAACATTTAATTTTCATATATTTGTGGTATTTCCTCTTGAATTATTTATTCATTCATATTTTCCTCCTATTTAACTTAAGGGATCACTTAACAATTTAGGTTCTTTTCAGGGCTTTGGATAGATTAGATTTTTATTTAATCATATTAATCTTCTTTTTTCTTTTAGCTCCAGTAATAAACCGATTCACGAGGCGTGCCTCGGGTAAGTCTGACTATATTATGGATTTTACTTACTAATGGTGACTTTTTTAAATGATAGTCATATTGGACAAGAAAGTATGAAGAGAATAATTGCTTTAGAGTAATAATTTATTTGTTAGTCATTTTCCCAGAAAATACATCCATCTGATATAATCAAGAACTTGGAAATATCCTTTGAGGGCCAAACTTGAATAATCACACTGTGTGCACAGAGGCTGATGTACCTTTGTAAATGGAGACTCTCACCCCGACTTGTTTATTCCTGCTCTTGATACATGATTATCTGCATGGTTATTTGATTTTCCAGCCACAGTTTAGAAGCAATGTTTCGAAGATGGGTGAAGGACACCCTAGAAACAGTGATGGATGAGAGTTTTTAATAAGGGACATGAAAAGTCTTAAAATACAGTTACAAGAACTTATCATCATGGGGCCATTTAGAATAGGAGCAAATTGCTTTACATTTGTTAATACCCCCGAGGCTGTTGCTGTCTTAAAGCCGATGCGTATTCACCCTGATAGACCTTAGCCATTAACAAGTACTTACATTAGCTTCACTATACTGTGTACTACCTCTCTGGTATGGGAAGTATGGGACAGAGTTGAGGGCATTTCTATCCAAAATGGTGTATGTAAAATGAGTTTGGGCATGTAAATAGAACAGTATTATTTGGAAAATTCCCATCTGTGGAATATCTTCTCTGAAGATAGAGGGCAAGTGGAGTGTTACTGTGTTTGGTTTGAGAAAATTACTCTTTCTTTTGAATATAACTAGAAGTTTTTTGTTGTAAACACAAGATAAACATTTCCAACAGATCATCTTTGACGTTTATTTAATACAAATGAATTTAATACATGAATTTAATTATGAATTTAATACAAATTTCATAAAATTACCTTATTTCCATCTGTGCTATATTATTAAAGGTGTTTTAAGGTCGAGCTTTATTTTTAATTTTTCAGCAGTTACTAGTGTAATTTTCTCTTATTATGTAGTGACCAGGTCGATAAGAAAAAAAGACAGAGATTAGGAAAATGTGCTGTATTGGGATAGTATCTACGTTACTCTCCTGAGCTTTTTGTAATCTCAAGGCATATTTATTTTAAATGCTGGAAACAAAGAGTAGATTGTGATGCCTTCAGTGTAATGAGAGATCAAGTTTATGTCAGTAAGCCATCAAACCTTACCCCAAAGTAGAGCTGTCAAGTGTGATCGTATTCTAGTGTACTTTGTAATCTTTTATGAGCAGTGGTGGAAACAAGAGGGACAACAAGAGAGAATCAGTAGTGTGATATCTTGTCTTGATGATGCAAAATTCTTTCCGTAAAAACATAGTTAAGAGTCTCAGAATAAATTATCTCCTTTTCTCCCCAAACTGTATGACATGAGACGTTTATTTCTGGGCAAGTTCCATTAGTATTTTAGCATTTGTTGTACAATATACTTATCATCAATTGGTGGGTCAGGGGCTCCAGTATGTAGGTTAGTTTTGAAACACCATTATTGCAGTTCCCCCGCCACCACTAACTCTGTGTCCAGTGTATCTCAGCAGATTTGGCTGGAAATGTAGACAAGATGGAGTGCCAGCAAAGAGAGATACACATTAAAGTCAAATGTTGCATTTATTCCTAGAACGACAGACAATGGGAAATGTCAGTGAAAACAATAGGAAACAATTCGATTTAAAGAAAAATAAATAAGGTGATATCAAGTTCAGGAGTTGTGTTATATATAACAATAAGCTTTAAAAGAGTAAAAATTGTTACCCTAATAGTATAACATGCTGGAAACCATTATGGGAATATAATATAAGATCATATATATATATATATATATATATAGTATACCATTCCGTCAACCATTATGAATCTTGACATTGATTATTGGAAGGAAAAGAGAACTAACGTATGTAGTACCCCTGATCAGGTACTGTGTTAAGCATTTTATATAAATTTTCAGTCTCTCAGGCAAGGGAAATAAAATTATATATACTACCTTAGATAAAAAGAACAGTGGTATAAGAAAAAAAAGGAATGGGACCTATTTAATCATCTACATGTCAGTAACTTATTTTAACTTTCTTATTTTTTATAAAAGTTTGTCTAAAACTTTCCTGGCAGAGAAGAATGTAGAAACAGTCTTAAGACGTCTTGAGGAGAAAATTCTAGAGTTCTTTTGTTAATTTAATTTAGTGGCTAAAAATAATTTAGTAGTGGAGATACACGCCAATTTCTTTTAAAGAAGCATTTCCTGAATATAAAAAAAGTGTTTACTTAAAATATAGAAATTCATATATGATAATTAAAAGTGTTTGTTAGGATATGTTTTTCTTATGTAGTTGTTTTCAGAAATAAACTTTAATGTAAGACCTGTAATTTAGGGGAAGAAAATAAGGTAAAATTAACCAGAAGTCTATATGATATAAGAGTTTGTTTCTTATTCATCTCTTTTTAAATAATAATTACAACAATAAATGCTGTATGTATATATTACAACAATAAATATACTTTATGTTGTACTAGATATTTAGTCACTATTGATTGAATGAAAATAAAAAAATAATATGTTCTAATACATTTCTGATCTTCTGACTGAGTTTCCTAAATGTTTGAGGTTTTGGCTTTTGGTATTCATGCTGCATCTATCAAAAATAAGTATTTCAACCTGAATAATTCAAACCAAACATTTCTCCCTTTTATGCCTTTTTCTTTTGTTATGGTTCATGAGGATGAGAGGAATGTTTATACTAAGAAAGTGTTTGACAAATACATAATTTAGGATCATTTTTACACTTTCCTCGTGTGTTTTCAGGTCCTGCCCACAAACCTGTCAGTTTTTATTTCTCTAAGTAAAAGGAATCAGTTTCACTCAGTATTTTCAAACAAAATTCTTAGAATCTTAAGAGTTTGAGACGTTTCAGGGTTTCATAAGCTAGTTTTCCAGTTGGTACAGGAGTGAAAGGCACATAGTAGAGTATGATGAGTGGAAACCAGCATAGATGGGCATTGGAGAATGGGTCTTGCCTTATGGGTTAGATGGGATAAGTTCTACAAAATGTGATTGAAGCTGTCAGATGTCTTCTGAAATCTAGAGAAAATGTATCTTGGTATCTTCCTGACAGCACCCCATAACCTTGATTTTATTATTTATTTATTGGTTTTTTTTTGAGATATTGACATATAACACTCTGTATGTTTAAGGTATGTAACATGTTGATTTGATACATTTGTATAGTGCAATATGATTACCCATAACCTTATTTTTAAACAGCACCCCATCTTTTAAACAAAAGAAAAAGAGATACTGCTTTTGTTCTTTTTTAACCCGTTTCTATTCTTAGTAATCACTTCTTATCAGTACGTCTTTTTAAATACACCGAAGTCATACACATAATCTGTTTTAGAATTTTGATGGAATTAGCATTGACAGTTTGGGGTTTAATTTTTCTTAAAAGTTATTATGGGATTTCTGTTTTGAAAGATTATTCTTTTTGGTGGAAAAATGGAAATATACCATTTATTGTTGTAATTATTAAAAACTAGTGGTAGCAATAGACGTAGTAACTCAGTAAATCTTCGAAGAGTAAAACTTTAAGCAAACGCCAATCCTATTGCTTCATTGTTCATCTAGCATATTATATGGGAAAGACCCTAGGGTGTCTACAGTATACAGACTTGAGTTCAGGCCACCCATTTATTGTGTGAATTTGCATGTAAGTTATTTACCTCATTGAGTTTTGCCTTCTTATTTCCTTTTCTTTCAGTTAGGGATCATAATGGCTATAGTGACGCTTGTGATGGTTAGGTCAAATGGCTTATAAAAAGCAGAGTGTCTAGGCTCTCAAAAATGTTAGCGGTCAGCCATGTTCTCCTGAACATAGTTTAAAACAAAACAAAACAAAACAATAAGACCCTCAGCCCTGTGCATTAGCCTGTCATAAAAAAGCCTTAGAGCGTCATAACACTATTAGATATTCATCCTTATAAAATGAGCATCTTTTTATTTTTTGTACATTACAGTTTTTGAAACGATTATAATGGTTTTCCTCTGTGGTTTTGTCTCTGAATTTAAAAAAAATGCAATGTCTCATGACTCTTGAGACACTGCCTTCCTTGCAGCATGAGGTCAGACCTCTCTGAATTTTTTTTAACCCTGACATTTTATTTTGAAAAAAGTCAAACAGAAAAATTTGAAGAATAGTTCAATGAACACCTTTATCTAGATATCCCAGTTGTTAGTGTTTTGCCACATTTGTATGCTCTTTTCCTTCCTTCCTTACACCTGCACATATATACACTTTTATTTTTTTTATTGAACCTTTTAGGAATCCTAAATACTTTATCTCCTATGAACAAGGACATTCTTCTACAAAACATAACACTGAAGGAATTTAACCTTGATATAATGCTATTATCTAATACACAGTCTAGAGTCCAGTTTTCTCGGTTGTCTTGCTACAGCCTCTCTCCCTCTCTCTCTCTTTTTTTTTTTTTTGTGAGGAAGATCAGCCCTGAACTAACATCCATGCTAATCCTCCTCTTTTTTTTGCTGAGGAAGACTGGCTCTGAGCTAACATCTATTGCCAGTCCTCCTCTTTTTTTTCCCCAAAGCCCCAGTAGACAGTTGTATGTCATAGTTGCACATCCTTCTAGTTGCTGTATGTGAGACGCGGCCTCAGCATGGCTGGAGAAGCGGTGCATCCGTTTGCACCCGGGATCCTAACCCGGGCCGCTGGTAGCAGAGCATGCGCACCTAACTGCTAAGCCATGGGGCCAGACCTCTCTCTCTTTTTTTTTAATTCAAGCTCATTCAAGGATTTTACATTGCATTTAATTGTCATGATTCTGTTTTTCTTGTGTTTCAGAAATCAACGTACTGAAGTTTTTGAAATCTGCCTTGTTTGAGTTCTGAAGGCTGTCCCTAGCAATGGTGCAGTTCCCTGTATCGCCTGTTATGAATTCTTAGATTGCATGGGCACATCCCCTGTCTGGTCACCGTGC